ACTTTGCTTTCCATACACTTTAAGTACTTCTTCATATACCACAGCAAAACCTATAGTCTGAGAAAGTTCAAACATGATTAAAGGCAAGTGAACAGTCAGTAAAAAAAAAAGAAAGAAAAAGAAAAAAAATTTACAAGCATAGATAATATAACCAGTAGTATTCAGGTACAGAAATTTATAATTAAGTGTAAAATAACACTGCACTGTATGAATTAAATTTAGATTAATCTTTGTTATAGCTGTTTTGTTGTTTGATTAACATTAGTGACATATTCAGCAGCACGTATTTATAGGCTGCTGTCCCTTTAAATCCGACTGCACGGATCCAGTATAATGATACACATCCGATTTCGACGGCAAAGAGTTGTTTTCTGCAACTTATTGCACTTAACTCTTTTTAACGTCAAGCAATTCTCTGCTATATGCGTCGAACTAAAACTTTGACCTTTTGCAACGTTTTGATTTAAGTAGCCTATTATTAAAATGATTCAAATATCGCACGCCGTTGCGATATGCATATCACGGTATTTACATTTGCGATATTTCGATATTTTCGATATATCGTGCAGCCCTAGTTTGCACTATGTTTTGGACTTGATTTCTTTGATGTGATATGGAATGCCGTCTACATCTCACACATACATGCTACATGAACATGCTAGCCCTTCAGTACCACAGTATATATCAAAGTAGTTATCGCATTGAACTGTTGATGCATTTCAGTGATTTTTCTAATGCAATATCCAGTGATGAAGCAGAATTTCAGGAATATTTCACACCCACGAGTTCAGCAGCTTTAATTATTACGCAGATCTGGGTAAAAGTGCACATGTGTGAACACCCGTCACACCTACACCACACCCAACACAACTCAAATCTTTATTCTATTCTATTCTTTTACTCGTGTGGAGTAGAGTAGTAGAGCAGAGGCCAGACGGCAAAATCACACAAAAGCTGGAGTTAATTTAAATCACCGTCCGTCATCGTGACCCTAAACACAATGTCATGCTGGGATTAACATTAAAACGCAGCTTTAGAAGTTAATATATTGTTTCATTTATTCTGCACATCTTATTTTGTATTGCATTTTTTAAATACCTGTTAAAACTGTGAGTGCAAATAAAAAAACAAACGATGCTTTCTAACTGTACGGTCACACAGAATAAGCATGCTTTCCAGCGTTATGTGTATTTAATGTGAAGTAATTCAGCCTTTATCTCACAACATGCACCAGAAGGTTTAATGCTTATATTGTAAATTTAACTCTGACAGTCACAACAATATAGTCATAACAGGAATAACACATTCAAGTGCAAGTATCTGTTGATATAAGCTCAAGTATCAGTGTTTAGAGTTTTCCTTGAGGCTCAACGCACTCTCTCTGACATGTACCGTATGAACCCAATTACATTTATAATAATAAATGGTCAAACCTGTAATACTAGAGCATGGAAAGTTCATTTGAGTTTGGAAAGGTACAGTTTGTAGTATAATCAATGAACTGTTAAAACCCTACTGTATAACTTGCATTTTGCCATCATTTACTCATGTGGTCCCTATCTGGAAGATCATTTCCGCCAATGAATAAACAATAAAAAAGGCTAACTGTGACTTTTTAATCTTAGGATTCTGACTTTCTTTCTTGCAATTACAAGTTTGTATCTGGCAATTGTTTTGTTTCCGCCACAGAATTAAAAATAAAACTGGTAACTGCAACTTTTATCTCAAAATTCTGACTTTTTGTCATGCAATTCTGTGTTTATAAATATCTCTGAATTGCAAGATAAAAGTTTGAATTGTGAGATAATGTAATTTTCAATTACTTTTTTTTTCCCATGGCAGAAAAAAAATTTACACAGGTTCCAGGCCTGTATGAAATATTTGTATGTACTATAATATTTTGAATAATTATATAGTTCTAATTATTTACTCCTATAAAGTGCTTAAAAATATATGGTTCACCAAAAATGTTGTTATCATTTACTCATTAAATATTGCATTACTTGTATGTATTATGCATTTATTTCTTCTGTGTAACACAAAAGAAGGTGTTTTGAAGAATGAGGAGTCCATTGACATCCAAAAAATATATATCTATCTATAAGATATCTATATTTAATATAAAATATTCACATATCTTCTTTAATGGTCCACAAAAGAGAGAGTAAATGACAGCAGAATTTCAATTTTTGAGTCAACAATCCCTTGAACCCACACCACTTTTGGTCAGTCGCCTCACTGGGAAGACTCTTCTGGTCGGCCACCACTAACCAGCATGAACCAGTCCTGTCAGAACATAGATTTGTGCTGGTCTGAGTGAGTCTGTATTCTGTCTAGTGTGTACCTTCCTGTAAATGGCTCCGATGATTCCCGAGCGCAGCCTCATGCCTGTGACAAAGCAGTACTGAAAGTGCTGATGTAAGATGAGGGTCTGTAAGAGGGAAGTGCCGAACATCAGGAACGCCAGCGAGTAACCCCACCACAGCGGGGCATTGGGCTGTTTGGTGAAGTCGATCAACAACCTGACAATGAAAGAAGAATCACGTTAAAAACACACCTCTCTGCATCGTGGTTTCCATGTATTATCAACTGTAGACACTAGCAGGCAAAAGTTTGGGATTGGAAGGTTTTTTTGAAAGACGTCTCGTCTGTTCACCAAGTCTGCATTTATTTGACCGAAAATATAGTCAAAAATGTGAAATATTATTACAATTGAAAATAACTGTTTTCTATGTGAATATATGTTAAAATGTAATTTATTGCTGTGATCAAAGCTGTATTTTCAGCATCATTACTCCAGTCTTCAGTGTCACATGATCTTCAGAAATCATTCTAATATGCTGATTTGCTGCTCAAGAAACATTTCTGATTATTATCAATGTTGAAAACAGTTGTGCTGCTTCATATTTTTTGTGGAAACTGTGATACATTTTATTTTTCAGGATTCTTTGATGAACAGAAAGTTCAAAAGAGCAGCATTTATTTGAAATAGAAATCTTTTGTAACATTAGAAATGTCATTACTGTTACTTTTAACCAGTTTAATGCAGAAAAAAAAATCATTTTATATCTTACTGGTGACACTGAAGACTGGAGTAATGATGCTGAAAATTCAGCTTTGATCATAGCAATAAATTACATTTTAACATATATTCACATAGAAAACAGCTATTTTAAATT